TAATGAACTCACAATTTACAAAGGTAATGAACTCCAGGTAGGTCTAGTCACAATCATGACAAGTTACAAAGGTATTTACAGATTACAGAGGTACACAATGGGTCCAGGGACCGGGCTCCAAAGTTTTGATGGCTGAACTAGGTACAAGGTAATGAACTCACAAGTTACATCAATGTCAAGAATTTTTGCGTCATCTGGTACAATGTTCAGTTTGCGATATTTTCGAACAATAATGTCCTTAGATTCAGCAAGTATTTTCTTGTAAAGTAAAAGGACACAAGTGCAACTAATGTGACATTTATTGTGGCAACGTTTCGCTCTCCAGGAGCTTTATCAAGCCATGGCTTGATAAAGCTCCTGGAGAGCGAAACGTTGCCACAATAAATGTCACATTAGTTGCACTTGTGTCCTTTTACTTTACATATTGTCGGTAATTCTACCAACTTTATTACAAGTATTTTCTTACATGACTCAATAGATTTTTCTGTAATCATAGACGCATATTTATTGTATGTCTCCAGATTGATATGTGGCAAACTACACACTGCGTTTCTACGGACAAATGCACGGTATCCACGACCTGCTAACAATTCCCCATACACCATCCTACCAGTTGCAACATTAAAATGGTATAAAATACCGACAGGTTGTTAGGTAAGACACATATGCAACAGTTAGGTATCTTTATTATGAAACGTTTCGCCTACACAGTAGGTTTCTTCAGTCAAGTACAGAAAAGTTGATAGAAGCAGAAGATACTTGAAGACGATGTAATCAGTCCATCACCCTTAAAGTTTTGAGGTGGTCAGTCCCTCAGTCTGGAGAAGAGCATTGTTCCGTTGTCTGAAACAATATGAAGTTGAAGTGACAGAATGGGGCCTTAAATAGTGCCAGGAGGTGAGACGTAGGTTGCTTTGGGAGGGCAGGTCCCTCTCAAACCCAGCCGTTCTCACTAGTAGAGGTTGTCGAAGTTGATGGTCTGTACCAAGACCATCAACTTTTCTGTACTCGACTGAAGAAGCCTACTGAGTAGGCGAAACGTTTCGAAATAAAGATACCTAACTGTTGCATATGTATCTTACCTAACAAAGATACCTAACTGTTGCATATGTGTCTTACCTAACATCCTACCAGTTGCAACATTCAGTGTTTTATACGACCTGGGTTTTTCCCCAACTTATAGTGACACTTAGTACACTCTAGAACAACAGTGCTCTCTAGATGATGTTCATAATATACAGTCTTCACGCTTGCAACACAACACTCAGGGCAAAATACTTAAGAACATAAGAACATAAGAAAGGAGGAACACTGCAGGAGGCCTGTTGGCCCATACTAGGCAGGTCCTTTACAATTCATCCCACTAACAAAACATTTGCCCAACCCAATTTTCAGTGCCACCCAAGAAATAAGCTCTGATGTGAAAGTCCCACTCAAATCCAACCCCTCCCACTCATGTACTTATCCAACCTAGATTTGAAACTACCCAAAGTCCTAGCCTCAATAACCCAACTAGGTAGACTGTTCCACTCATCAACTACCCTATTTCCAAACCAATACTTTCCTATGTCCTTTCTAAATCTAAACTTATCTAATTTAAATCCATTACTGCGGGTTCTCTCTTGGAGAGACATCCTCAAGACCTTATTAATATCCCCTTTATTAATACCTATCTTCCACTTATACACTTCGATCAGGTCTCCCCTCATTCTTCATCTAACAAGTGAATGTAACTTAAGAGTCATCAATCTTTCTTCATAAGGAAGATTTTGCGATAAGACATCAATATATAATTTTCTGGGATCAAAAATCATCAATCTCTTTCCAGTAGTATGAGGATCGTTAGGTAAGACACATATGCAACAGTTAGACAACTTTATTCCGAAACGTTTCGCCTACACAGTAGGCTTCTTCAGTCGAATACAGAAAATAGGCAGGAACAGTAGAGATGTGAAGACGATGTAATCAGTCCATCACCCTTGTAGTCGTAGAATTTGAGGTTGTCAGTCCCTCGGCCTGGAGAAGTTCAGTTCCATAGTCAGTTCCATAGTTCCTGACTATGGAACTGAACTTCTCCAGGCCGAGGGACTGACAACCTCAAATTCTACGACTACAAGGGTGATGGACTGATTACATCGTCTTCACATCTCTACTGTTCCTGCCTATTTTCTGTATTCGACTGAAGAAGCCTACTGTGTAGGCGAAACGTTTCGGAATAAAGTTGTCTAACTGTTGCATATGTGTCTTACCTAACAACCTGTCGGTATTGTATACCATTTTGATGTTCAGTATGAGGATCTATAGCAGGAAATAATGACACTCTCTTTTTGGCACTTGACACCCCAGCAGGTGCAGGTGTTGACACTGGAATATCACTCACAACACAACTATGACTGTCACCCTCAACACTATTATCAACATCAGTGGTGGCCATGGAGCTGTTGGCCACATCTGGGGTGGCAGTGGAGGTGGTGGCCACAGATGTGGCCATGGAGATGCTGGCCACAGGAGATGTGGCCATGGTGCTGGCCACAGGAGATGTGGCCATGGTGCTGGCCACAGGAGATTTGGCCACCGGAGATGTGGCCATGGAGATGCTGGCCACAGATGTGGCCATGGAGATGCTGGCCACAGGATATGTGGCCATGGAGGTGCTGGCCACAGATGTGACACCTCTTTTGGTCTTCGATCCTTTGGGTCGGCCAACTGGACGTCGTGTGGCCACAGGTATCGCTGTTTGTTTCTTTCCCGATCCTCTAGGTCGACCACGTGAACGAGGGGTGGCCCTGGAGGTAGTGGCCGTGGAGGTAGTGGCCGTGGAGGTAGTGGCCGTGGAGGTAGTAGTAGTCATGGTGGCCGTGGAGGTGGCCATGGAGGTAGAAGTCGTGATAGTAGTAGCTGTCAAGGTGACCACGGTGGCCATGGTGGCCATGGAGGTACTGGGCACATTTGCGGTGCTCTTATCCTTTGTCTTCCCTCGTTTTGAACCTGAAATATCCAATAGTTCACTAGCAGTGAACAAGGATTCGTCTTGAGAGGAGGGTGGTGGCACTAACTCTTGAGAGGAGGGTGGTGGCACTAACTCTTGAGAGGAGGGTGGTGGCACTAACTCTCGAGAGGAGGGTGGTGGCACTAACTCTCGAGAGGAGGGTGGTGGCACTAACTCTTGAGAGGAGGGTGGTGGCACTAACTCTCGAGAGGAGGGTGGTTGTAATGGCACAGTCTCACCACCCAAAGCAGCTGCCTCTCTCTTTATTTTTCTAGCCATTCTCATATCTTGCATCTGCTTCCTGCTAATCTTCGGGAAATACTTTTTAGTCTTTCTAGGCATCGTGTGCCAAAAATGTGCACAATGAAAGGCAAGAAGTGAGGGTCCAAGGGTAGACAGCTGTCAGTGGAAGCTACATTCCTCCACCCTCTTCTGACTTCTAGTCGGTACTGACTACCTCTGGTGCCAGAAGCTCCTTCTCACAGCTACACTGATGGTTTCCAGTTACTATTTAGAAGATCTACCTAAAAAATAATTGTCGTACAGACACGAGACGCACACCATAATGTTGCCAGATGTTTGCTCTATTTTTCGGTAAATTAACTAATTTTTCATATTTTTTCGATTTTTTGGTCTCTGAGCTCAGAATTGCCCTACAGCCTCCTGAATTCTGCATCCTCAAGATTCTTCCCAACTATGTTAACTTCACTGCAGACCTGTCTCCTGCCCAAGATACTGTTCCTGGAAGCTCCTCGCCGACACTGTTCATGCTGCCTCAACCACTGTCTCCCATGCCTCCCAACCCGTTGTTACACCACTATTACACCTCTCCACTGCTCCTGTCGACCCTCAGTCACCTGTTAACACCACTGTAGACTCGCCTACTGTATCCACTTCAGAAGAAGACACTGATGACTCCAGTACACCTTCCTGGAAAAACCTTACCTTCTACACTGCTCCATCAAATGCACCAATGACCTGCTCTGAACTCTACAAAGGCCACGGTGCCGGAACAGTCAAGTTTGCCTGCGGGCCACCACTTCACACTCACCCAAGTTCTTGAGTCCATCAAGCTTCTACGTTTCACCTTTGGAAATAAGATTAAACTATACCACCTCTCCAGGAGTAGCTTCAGCAAGTTTGAAAATGGTTCCACTTCAAACCTGCCTCCATAATCACTCCTCTAACACCCATCAGTGTGCTTCCCTCTGATGTTCGTCTGCCTGCCCTCTCCTGCCACCTAACTTGCTGCCAGCTTCTCAAGACCTCCAACCACCACAAGACCGTTGCAACAGAGCCTGCACCTCGTCCTGCTTTTCCAGTCTGCCTCGCTAGTGCCTCATTTTCTCATTTGCTCTCTTTTTACACTCCCTCAACACTTTCCTAACGTCTTTTTTGCTCTCCTTATACCCCACCTTCCTTACATCATTCTACTTCGTAAACTCCTCTCATGCTAGTTATTTTTTCTTTACTGCTGTCTTTACCTCGTCATTCCATGAATCATTTCTTTTGCCTCCTGCACCCACCCTATGTCCATGAAGTGTGATAAATGTTTTAAAAAACGACAAGTTGAAGACTGAGACACAACATATGGGAATCTTTATTTATGTGTTTAGTCCATTATTCTACGAGATTGATGGACTGAACACATCGACTCCAGGCTGAGAGACTAATTACCTCTAGCTCCTCCTCTCCTTTCACCAATCTACTTTGTATTGGACTGATGAAGTCACTGTGTGGCGAAACGTTTCCTCAATAAAGATTCCCATATGATGCTTAAGTGTCTCTATATCCATAAACCTGTTCTGTACACTCTAACATTGCAGTCTTAAATCTACTCCATACACAAATAACCCGCACATAGATGAGAGGAGCTTACGACGTCGTCGTAAGCTCCTCTCATCTACGGGTTATTTGTGTATCGTTCCAGTCACGGTATTGTGCCTTTTTTGTTATCTGCCCCATACCTCCAGTTTATAAACGAATTAGAGTATATTTAACATGTTAACAGTGTGAGCCTGGAGGCTGTCTGATTGAACTATCGGTGCAGTTGGCCACAATAATGATCGGGAGACAGGCCATCAACGCTGCCCTGGAAATGGGTGTTCCAGTTGTCCGTAGCTGGTGTAACAAAATGACTTTACACTCTCCCAAGCAACCCTTCAATGTTCTCTGGCCACAGTGGGTCAAGGACTTCTATCGCATCAACTGTGACTCCCGAAGCCTCTTCTTTGAGTATTTGGAGATGGGTGAGTGTTTTGTGATGGGATACTGTCTATTAAAATTTGTTAAATTTGTCCTGACACGAGTCTGAGTGATGCTGTCTATTGTCCAATTAAGAACGTACACTAGAGCGGATTATTTTCCTTCATTTCTCCTCTGATATCTCTCACATAATATTTCTTATTTTGGGTCAGGATATGTTAAGTTTAAGCTAACATTATATTTAACCCGTTGCTATGTATAATAACCTGACAATATGATAATAAATTACAAAAGGTAAACCATACCACGGGTGGGGTTAGAACCCGCGGTCAGAGTGTTATAAAACTCCAGACCGACGCGTTAACCACTGGACCAGCTGCTACAATAAGATTCACCCAACTAGTTATATTCATACACCATAGGAAGGTTAGCACAGGCCACCACTGTGACCACAAATAGTGTTATTACTGACCGCGGGTTCTAACCCCACCCATGGTATGGCTTGTTCACAATCGTGTCATTATGATTTCACGAATCATGTACAACAGAAAATTTGCTTCTGGTAATGAGAGACGGATTTCAGAGTTTTGTCCAAACACTTACAATCAAATTTTACATTACATTTAATTGTAAGTGAAAAACCCAGTACTTACTAGTACCACTTTTTACCAGTGTCACAAAAGGAGAGAGAAAAAAAAACTGGATGGGTTAATGACTTGCTTCGTGGAACCTCAGGTCGGTTGACTGAGACAGGAATATTTCTTGAGGATTCAACTTATATTTTGATGCTGCATCGTAAGGTGTGATGGATGAGATTTTACCCAACATTAATAAAAAAAATCCGAGCTTCACCTTACGGTAGAGCTATAGGATGTGTCTATGTTGCTAATGATTTCTCTAGTGATGAACTAGTGAGTGTTACGAGCATTTTGAGATCGTCTCAAAATTCACTCTGTTTAACCCCGTCACACATGTAAGTCAGTAAGTTAGTTTATTCAGGTATACACAAATACAGTTACATAGAATTATCATACATAGCAGCATATGTGTAGACAACCTGGGATAATCCAAAAAAGTCAGATAAAGTGACTTATTTCTATTGGCTTCTTGAAATTGTATCCGTAAGTCCCCGTCACACCTCTAGGATACGTGTGGCAGCGTTCTTCTGGTCATAAGTCATTTACTAACATCGAGGTGCCCAGAAAAGACTTCAGGGCACACTTGTTGTGCCAGTAGTGAGGTATGAGGCAAAGTTATATCCTGGAAACTGGACCAGTTCTCCTCATCTTCTGATGGGCCCTGAGAGCCTCCCAGTTCCTGGTGTTGTGTGGCCCCTTGTGGTTTAAGTGCGTCTCCCTCAATATAAGAAAATAACGAGAAAATGAAGTCATTGAACATGTTTTTGACATCAGAATTGCAGTTCCTAATGTTGACGATATAGATATCTAAATGTTTTTATCGTCAGTGTTAGATGGTTCGTAAGGACGATATAAACGTGTTTACTGTCAATGTTAGATGATTGGTTTGTAAAGACGATATATAACGGTGTGTTTTCCTTCTTAGTATTGCAGTTCGGGTTTGTAACGATCTTCGTGGCATCATTCCCGCTGGCTCCAGTGTTCGCATTGGTCAACAACTTGCTGGAAACCCGCCTGGATGCCAGCAAGTTTATCAGGCACTACAGAAGACCAGCACCACACCGCGGCAGAGATATTGGTGTTTGGCTGAAGATACTTGACACCGTCAGTAATATCGCAGTAGTTAGCAATGTTAGTGTCTAGTCTGTTAGTTACCATTGTTAATGCTCTCTCTAAGGTAGTTACCAGTGTTAGTGGCCACTCTGGTGATGTTACCAGTGTTAGTGGCCAGTCTGGTGATGTTACCAGTGTTAGTGGCCACTCTAGTGATGTTACCAGTGTTACTGGCTAGTCTGGTGATGTTACCAGTGTTAGTGGCCATTCTGGTGATGTTACCAGAGTTAGCGGCCACTCTGGTGATGTTACCAGTGTTAGTGGCCACTTTGGTGATGTTACAAGTGTTAGTGGCCACTCTGGTGATGTTACCAGTGTTAGTGGCCACTCTGGTGATGTTACCAGTGTTAGTGGCCAGTCTGGTGATGTTACCAGTGTTAGTGGCCACTCTGGTGATATTACCAGTGTTAGTGGCCAGTCTGGTGATATTACCAGTGTTAGTGGCCATTCTGGTGATGCTACCAGTGTTAGTGGCCACTCTGGTGGTGTTACCAGTGTTAGTGGCCACTCTGGTGATATTACCAGTGTTAGTGGCCATTCTGGTGATGTTACCAGTGTTAGTGGCCACTCTGGTGATATTACCAGTGTTAGTGGCCATTCTGGTGATGCTACAAGTGTTAGTGGCCACTCTGGTGATGTTACCAGTGTTAGTGGCCACTCTGGTGATGTTACCAGTATTAGTGGCCACTCTGGTGATATTACCAGTGTTAGTGGCCACTCTGGTGATATTACCAGTGTTAGTGGCCACTCTGGTGATGTTACCAGTGTTAGTGGCCAGTCTGGTGATGTTACCAGTGTTAGTGGCCACTCTGGTGATATTACCAGTGTTAGTGGCCAGTGTGGTGATGTTACCAGTGTTAGTGGCCACTCTGGTGATGTTACCAGTGTTAGTGGCCACTCTAGTGATGTTACCAGTGTTAGTGGCTAGTCTGGTGATGTTACCAGTGTTAGTGGCCATTCTGGTGATGTTACCAGAGTTAGCGGCTACTCTGGTGATGTTACTAGTGTTAGTGGCCACTCTGGTGAAGTTACCAGTGTTAGTGGCCACTCTGGTAGTGTTACCAGTGTTAGTGGCCACTCTGGTGATGTTACCAGTGTTAGTGGCCACTCTGGTGATGTTACCAATGTTAGTGGCCACTCTGGTAGTGTTACCAGTGTTAGTGGCCACTCTGGTGTTGTTACCAGTGTTAGTGGCCACTCTGGTGGTGTTACCAGTGTTAGTGGCCACTCTGGTGATGTTACCAGTGTTAGTGGCCACTCTGGTGATGTTACCAGTGTTAGTGGCCACTCTGGTGGTGTTACCAGTGTTAGTGGCCACTCTGGTGATGTTACCAGTGTTAGTGGCCACTCTGGTGATGTTACCAGTGTTAGTGGCCACTCTGGTGATGTTACCAGTGTTAGTGGCCACTCTGGTGATGTTACCAGTGTTAGTGGCCACTCTGGTGGTGTTACCAGTGTTAGTGGCCACTCTGGTGATGTTACCAGTGTTAGTGGCCACTCTGGTGATGTTACCAGTGTTAGTGGCCACTCTGGTGATGTTACCAGTGTTAGTGGCCACTCTGGTGATGTTACCAGTGTTAGTGGCCACTCTGGTGATATTACCAGTGTTAGTGGCCACTCTGGTGATGTTACCAGTGTTAGTGGCCACTCTGGTGATGTTACCAGTGTTAGTGGCCACTCTGGTGATATTACCAGTGTTAGTGGCCACTCTGGTGATGTTACCAGTGTTAGTGGCCACTCTGGTGATGTTACCAGTGTTAGTGGCCACTCTGGTGATGTTACCAGTGTTAGTGGCCACTCTGGTGATGTTACCAGTGTTAGTGGCCACTCTGGTGATGTTACCAGTGTTAGTGGCCACTCTGGTGATGTTACCAGTGTTAGTGGCCACTCTGGTGGTGTTACCAGTGTTAGTGGCCACTCTGGTGATGTTACCAGTGTTAGTGGCCACTCTGGTGATGTTACCAGTGTTAGTGGCCACTCTGGTGGTGTTACCAGTGTTAGTGGCCACTCTGGTGGTGTTACCAGTGTTAGTGGCCACTCTGGTGATGTTACCAGTGTTAGTGGCCACTCTGGTGATGTTACCAGTGTTAGTGGCCACTCTGGTGGTGTTACCAGTGTTAGTGGCCACTCTGGTGATGTTACCAGTGTTAGTGGCCACTCTGGTGATGTTACCAGTGTTAGTGGCCACTCTGGTGGTGTTACCAGTGTTCCAGAGGTCAACACCCCTGGAACATTATATCTAATATTCTGGCTTTGAAGTGGCTAGTTTACCCCCCATATCCATCCTGTGGATGGTAGTGCAAGAGCATATAGATACAGAAAAGGCCTATGAACTAGGCCTAGGAACTAGGCCACAAAGGGTTAACAGGAATACATCTTCATTTAAATCTTGAGAGATTGATGTATCCGATATTTTGAGAATGTACAGACCGGGCCGCGGGGGCGTTGACCCCTGGAACTCTCTCCAGGTAAACTCCAGGTAAAGATACACTTTACGGTAGTGTCTTCATTGATTACGTTCTATTATTTTTCAAAGTATTTGCGTAATGTTCCGGTTCTGGTATCTGTTATGTCAGGAGTGGAGGTCTGGAACCTGTCTTGTCAGGACTCAAGGGGGTCTGGAACCTGTTATATGCCAGAAGTGAAGGAGATCTGGAACCTGTTATATGTCGGGAGTGAAGGAGGTCTGGAACCTGTTATATATCAGGAGTGAAGGAGGTCTGGAACCTGTTATATATCAGGAGTGAAGGAGGTCTGGAACCTGTTATATATCAGGAGTGAAGGAGGTCTGGAACCTGTTATATATCAGGAGTGAAGGAGGTCTGGAACCTGTTATATATCAGGAGTGAAGGAGGTCTGGAACCTGTTATATATCAGGAGTGAAGGAGGTCTGGAACCTGTTATATATCAGGAGTGAAGGAGGTCTGGAACCTGTTATATATCAGGAGTGAAGGAGGTCTGGAACCTGTTATATATCAGGAGTGAAGGAGGTCTGGAACCTGTTATATGCCAGGAGTGAAGGAGGTCTGGAACCTGTTATATGTCAGGAGTGAAGGAGGTCTGGAACCTGTTTTATGCCAGGAGTGAAGGAGGTCTGGAACCTGTTTTATGCCAGGAGTGAAGGAGGTCTGGAACCTGTTATTTGTCAGGAGTGAAGGAGGTCTGGAACCTGTTATTTGTCAGGAGTGAAGGAGGTCTGGAACCTGTTATTTGTCAGGAGTGAAGAAGGTCTGGAACCTGTTATTTGTCAGGAGTGAAGAAGGTCTGGAACCTGTTATATGTCAGGAGTGAAGGAGGTCTGGAACCTGTTATATGTCAGGAGTGAAGGAGGTCTGGAACCTGTTATATGTCAGGAGTGAAGGAGGTCTGGAACCTGTTTTATGCCAGGAGTGAAGGAGGTCTGGAACCTGTTTTATGCCAGGAGTGAAGGAGGTCTGGAACCTGTTATTTGTCAGGAGTGAAGGAGGTCTGGAACCTGTTATTTGTCAGGAGTGAAGGAGGTCTGGAACCTGTTTTATGCCAGGAGTGAAGGAGGTCTGGAACCTGTTTTATGCCAGGAGTGAAGGAGGTCTGGAACCTGTTATTTGTCAGGAGTGAAGGAGGTCTGGAACCTGTTATTTGTCAGGAGTGAAGGAGGTCTGGAACCTGTTATTTGTCAGGAGTGAAGAAGGTCTGGAACCTGTTTTATGCCAGGAGTGAAGAAGGTCTGGAACCTGTTATATGTCAGGAGTGAAGAAGGTCTGGAACCTGTTATATGTCAGGAGTGAAGAAGGTCTGGAACCTGTTATATGTCAGGAGTGAAGAAGGTCTGGAACCTGTTATATGTCAGGAGTGAAGAAGGTCTGGAACCTGTTTTATGCCAGGAGTGAAGGACGTCTGGAACCTGTTTTATGCCAGGAGTGAAGGAGGTCTGGAACCTGTTTTATGCCAGGAGTGAAGGACGTCTGGAACCTGTTTTATGCCAGGAGTGAAGGACGTCTGGAACCTGTTTTATGCCAGGAGTGAAGGACGTCTGGAACCTGTTTTATGTCAGGAGTGAAGAAGGTCTGGAACCTGTTTTATGCCAGGAGTGAAGGACGTCTGGAACCTGTTTTATGCCAGGAGTGAAGGACGTCTGGAACCTGTTTTATGCCAGGAGTGAAGGAGGTCTGGAACCTGTTTTATGCCAGGAGTGAAGGACGTCTGGAACCTGTTTTATGCCAGGAGTGAAGGACGTCTGGAACCTGTTTTATGCCAGGAGTGAAGGACGTCTGGAACCTGTTTTATGTCAGGAGTGAAGAAGGTCTGGAACCTGTTTTATGCCAGGAGTGAAGGACGTCTGGAACCTGTTTTATGCCAGGAGTGAAGGACGTCTGGAACCTGTTTTATGCCAGGAGTGAAGGAGGTCTGGAACCTGTTTTATGCCAGGAGTGAAGGAGGTCTGGAACCTCTTATATGCCAGGAATGAAGGTCTAAACACCGATAGCTTTCTTGGTATATATTGTATTTTCACACGGTAACTGGGTAAGCACAAAGTTGCATTGTAGGATGAACAAAAGTCACAGTAAAGTAGCTGGAGCAATTTACAAACTGGAAATATAAATTATGGAAAGTCTCAGTCATCCATGACTTAGCAGAGGCAGGAAGGTGGGTCGTGTTAGTTTAATATGTTTATTATGCACCCCATACCCATCCTGTAGTCTGGTCTGCCGAGTACATGACGACGCTTGATACAGGATTTAGACTGACCCTTCATAACTCTAGTAACCATAACAACACGATTGCAAAAATATCACGGTACGGATTGGGTTTGAACCCATGGCAAGTGAGTTTTAAAGACTTAGTTGCCATAGGTTCTTTAAGCCCCACCCGTTCTTTGATTTACTTCTCTGCGCCTTCTTGCGTTCGACCCACAAGAAATACAATATATTTCTCAGCAAGACAGATCACACATTAAAGTCACTTATTTTCTCTCCTCCCAGAGTTTTATCATCGCCTTCACGTCCAACTTCATCCCAGAGACTGTGTACCGCTACACCGTGTCCAGCGATGGCTCACTACGAGGCTTCCTACAGAACTCTTTGGCGTACTTCTCCGTAATGGATTTCCCCGCGCCCTATAGACCACAAAATGCACAGAGCCACCTCTTCTGCCGGTGAGGACAGGTCCTTCTCAGATCCACCCCTTCTCTCAATGGTCAGACATAAAAGATTATCAAAGACGGTTGTGTACCAGTATTCTGTTGTATTGCAGTGTGTGCCTGAGTGGATATTATAATGGTATCAGTACGGACAAGTGATGGCCTACACAGTATGTCGGTGGCCTGGTGGCAGCAACTCTCGCTTCACACGGTGAGGGTCCGGGTTCGATTCCCGGCAAAGGTGGGAATCTGGCGTGTTTCCTAACAGCGGTTGTCCATGTTCACCTAGCAGTAAAAAAAGGTACTTGGGTGTTAGTGGACTGGTGTGGGTGGCATCCTGGGTGTTAGTGGACTGGTGTGGGTCACATCCTGGGTGTTAGTGGACTGGTGTGGGTCACATCCTGTGTGTTAGTGGACTGGTGTGGGTCACATCCTGGGTGTTAGTGGACTGGTGTGGGTCACATCCTGGGTGTTAGTAGACTGGTGTGGGTCACATCCTGGGTGTTAGTGGACTGGTGTGGGTCACATCCTGGGACAAAACTGACATAATTTGCGGGAAATGCTCAGCATAACAAGGTACTTTCTATATAGTAGTATGTCATTGATGTCAACTATGGTCTGTATACCTTGTACATGTATACCTTGTACATGTATACCTTGTACATGTATACCTTGTACATATATACCTTGTACATGTATATCTTGTACATGTATACCTTGTACATGTATACCTTGTACATGTATACCTTGTACATGTATACCTTGTACATGTATACCTTGTACATGTATACCTTGTACATTTATACCTTGTACAAGACTTGTCTTGAGCATTGTCAGTAATTGCACTGGAAAACCTCCCAGAGGCAAAACATTGTTAAATCAAGTGTTATATTCCCGAGTACAAATTTAACAAGAAGTATTTAACATTAGATACCGGGCGTACCGGAGGGCAGGAGGGCAGGAGGATGAGTACCAACACACACACTTGTACTGGATCATCCTTACATCCAGGCTCGTCTTCGCTCTTGTGTTCCAGGTGAGGTTCTCTCTCTCTGCTCTCTCTTTTACTTCTAGAAAACTCTCTCAGTAGGTAACTGTTTATGCTGGAAGTTTTCCAGTATTGCTCATTCATGTCACAGGTTTTCCAGTATTGCTCATTCATGTCACAGGTTTTCCAGCATTAAGAGGTGCCTAAGTTTCCCTCTCCTAATATAATATTTATTTTTCCCCTTTAATCTATTGGTGACCGTAGCGCAGTGGTCAGTGCAGTCGGTTCGCAACCTATTGGCCCCAGGTTCGGATCCTGGGCAGGTCGAGACATATGGACCAGTCTCCTCACACTCACTGTCCTTGTTAACCTTCAGTAAAAAGGTTCCTAGGAGTTAGTCGGTCGTTGTGGGTCGCATCCTAGGGAATGGTCAAGTTCTACAAACTACTGGGCAACTTGAATATCTCTCAGTTGACCTATTGATGCACTATCTGTCCCCAAAGTTCACGACAAACGAATCATAAAATCCGCAAGGCTACACCCAAAAACCTAGCCTAAAACACCTACCTTGCCCGTAATTACTATAGCATTAGCTATCTCTGCTTTCGTAAGGTGAAGTCCAGGATCTTTCCTTAATTCATGGTATAACTTAACAAATCTTTGAGGACAATTGTGTTGCAGAGGTCTGATCTCAGCTCACACCTCTTGCTTGCTCATTTGTGTATGAATTTTCATCTGGGCTGCCTCTTGGGATTATCTCTGATAAACCATTATTTACCATATTTCTCCATTTTAGGTGTCTTAAGTTGACTAGACCCAGCAACAATATATTTGGGCTGGAACTGGAAGATTTTCCAGGCGGTAGACCATTTTCAGAAGCTGTTCCTTGAATTATTGGAAAGTTGTATCAGGTCGCTTGTATACAAGCGACCTGATACACTGCCATAACTTCAATATCATTTGTAATGCTTAGTAATCCCGAGCAAATGAGCAACTCTGTGACATACAGGCCAACACCCCCATCCCCTCCTTGTTGCCTGTTCATCCAGTCGCCTTCGAATAAGATGTACCCTGGAATCCATATTTCGTTTTCAAAGTGATCCGTTGTGTGGGTCTCTGTGAAAGCCTCAGATATTGTACTTGACTCTGTGAGCAGTCCATTGATGAAAGGCATTTTTTCTGTCTGTTGATGGCTTTAGAACCTACATATTTGCAATACAAATATGTTGCCGTACCGATGGGACTGGGGTAGGTGGCTTTATTTGGCACTAATATCTGTTGTTCTGGAGTGGGGGCCACTGACTGTACCTCCACTCTGGTAGTGACCCGAAGTGGTGGGTGTAGTGTTTTCTTTCTGGCACCAAGGTCTGTGTGTTCTGTACTTTCATTTTTATTATAATTAACACATCGGCCGTCTCCCACCAAGGCAGGGTGGCTCGAAAAAGAAAAACTTTCGTCATCATTCACTCCATCACTGTCTTGCCAGAGATGCACTTGCACTACAGTTATAAAACTGCAACATTAACACCCCTCCGTTAGAGTGCAGACACTGTACTTCCCATCTCCAGGACTCGAGTCCGGTCTACCGGTTTCCCTGAATCCCTTCATAAATATTACCTTGCTTACACTCCAACAGCACGTCAAGTCCTAAAAATCTTCTTGTCCCCTTTAAACGGCATGCCTGACAGTATATTCCAGTTGTAGATTCGCTGGTACATTTACCTGCCCTGGTCTTTTCCAGATGGTGACCAGCAGCTGACAATAAATGTTGTAACATTGTCTTCCATGAGTTAAATACGAGAAGAATTATATACTTTTTGGGTCATAAGGTTGCGACAAGATTTTGGATGGTCAGAATTGCATGTCCCACCTGTTTTTCCAGATATGCCATGTACACAGATACCCTGAGGCCTGGTCACAGACCGGGCCATTGAGCCGTTGACCCCCGGAACGCTCTCCAGGTGCACTCGAGGTATACTCCAGGTATACCAAGGGCACAGAATTTACAGATTCGATTTCTGTTTGCCAGGAGTTTTTGTAGCCACGAGGTTGTTGTTTCAGAACACTGTGTTTGTTTCAGAACACTGTATTTGTTTCAGAACACTGTGTTTGTTTCAGAACACTGTATTTGTTTCAGAACACTGTATTTGTTTCAGAACACTGTATTTGTTTCAGAACACTGTATTTGTTTCAGAACACTGTATTTGTTTCAGAACACTGTATTTGTTTCAGAACACTGTATTTGTTTCAGAACACTGTGTTTGTTTCAGAACACTGTATTTGTTTCAGAACACTGTGTTTGTTTCAGAACACTGTATTTGTTTCAGAACACTGTATTTGTTTCAGAACACTGTGTTTGTTTCAGAACACTGTGTTTATTTAAATTACTTTGTATGTGTTTCAGAACACTGTGTTCGGTCTTACCATCATGGTAGAGTGGGTCATCTCGGATATACCAAGCAGTCTCAAGGTTAGTTTGGTAGTTACCTTCATAAACGAGGGTTGCCTTTCAAGGCTAGTGGTTAATGGGCACCATTCTTCAGATCAAGGTTAGTGGGCACCGTTCTTCAGATCAAGGTTAGTGGAGCACCGTTCTTCAGATCAAGGTTAGTGGAGCACCGTTCTTCAGATCAAGGTTAGTGGGGCACCGTTCTTCAGATCAAGGTTAGTGGAGCACCGTTCTTCAGATCAAGGTTAGTGGGGCACCGTTCTTCAGATCAAGGTTAGTGGGCACCGTTCTTCAGATCAAGGTTAGTGGAGCACCGTTCTTCAGATCAAGGTTAGTGGAGCACCGTTCTTCAGATCAAGGTTAGTGGGGCACCGTTCTTCAGATCAAGGTTAGTGGAGCACCGTTCTTCAGATCAAGGTTAGTGGGGCACCGTTCTTCAGATCAAGGTTAGTGGGGCACCGTTCTTCAGATCAAGGTTAGTGGAGCATCGTTCTCCAGATCAAGGTTAGTGGGGCACCGTTCTCCAGATCGAGGTTAGTGGAGCACCGTTCTCCAGATCAAGGTTAGTGGGGCACCGTTCTTCAGATCAAGGTTAGTGGGGCACCGTTCTTCAGATCAAGGTTAGTGGAGCACCGTTCTCCAGATCAAGGTTAGTGGGGCACCGTTCTTCAGATCAAGGTTAGTGGAGCATCGTTCTTCAGATCAAGGTTAGTGGGGCACCGTTCTTCAGATCAAGGTTAGTGGAGCATCGTTCTCCAGATCAAGGTTAGTGGAGCACCGTTCTTCAGATCAAGGTTAGTGAAGCACCGTTCTTCAGATCAAGGTTAGTGGGGCACCGTTCTCCAGATCAAGGTTAGTGGAGCACCGTTCTCCAGATCAAGGTTAGTGGGGCACCGTTCTTCAGATCAAGGTTAGTGGAGCATCGTTCTTCACATCAAGGTTAGTGGGGCACCGTTCTCCAGATCAAGGTTAGTGGGGCACCGTTCTCCAGATCAAGGTTAGTGGGGCACCGTTCTTCAGATCAAGATTCGGCCGTTCCCTGAATCAAGGTAAATATGTCCCAGTCGAGGCCAAAAAAAATCCTAAACAATGTTAGTACGTCTAATCAACGTCAATGCACATTTCTGATCAAATTCAAAACGTTTTTGTAATCAACGTGAGTACTTTTCTGTAATCAACGTGAGTACTTTTTTTGTAATCAACGCTCTTAGTGTCAGTATATTACTGGTTAAGAGCCGTATGTGTGATTGACACTGGAATTCAATTCTATTTTTTAATATTGCGGACGTAAGAAATTGTGTGGATGTTCCACGGATGCGGATGCGGATGCGGATGCGGATATCCGATACATCACTACGGGATACTCTACATAATCTATTCTGATGTAATCAAACCTAGCCTAGCCTAATTTATTATGTAATGTAATCTTGTTTTGCCTAACCTGACTTAGGTGGTCAAACCTTTCCTAGCTCAACCTATCCAAGCTCAACCTATCCAAGCTCAACCTATCCTAGTTCAACCTATCCTAGCTCAACCTATCCTAGTTCAACCTATCCTAGTTCAACCTATCCAAGTTCAACCTATCCTAGTTCAACCTATCCTAGTTCAGCCTTTCCTAGTTCAACCTATCCTAGTTCAACCTATCCTAGTTCAACCTATCTTAGTTCAACCTATCCTAGTTCAACCTATCCAAGTTCAACCTATCTGTGGAAAATACTGTATATATTTTCCAGAAATACAGTAGTTATTAAATGTAAATAGATGGCCATACTGTATTTAAAATTTATGTAATCGAAAACGGGAAGCTGCGCCTGCGCAGAGGAGACTCGCCATCTTGGTTTTGAATTTGTATTAGAAACGTTGGTGAATGGGGAAGAATTTTTCGTGCTCTAGAGGTTAAAATTGTGTTGACACCTCTCAAATAGGAGGCGAAATTGTTGGACATGCATTCCTGCATAACTTGAGATATCAGACGACTGGACAAGACAGCTCCAGGAACCTCAGATAAGCTCTCTAGATTTATGTTATAATTCTCGCCAGTGTTATTTGCATAAATTTAGTTAGAATGAGGTTTTCTGAGTATGATACATTGGACAAGACAGCTCCAGGAACCTCAGATAAGCTCTCTAGATTTATGTTATAATTCTCGCCAGTGTTATTTTCATAAATTTGGTTAGAATGAGGTTTTCTGAGTATGATACATTGGACAAGACAGCTCCAGGAACCTCAGATAAGCTCTCTAGATTTATGTTGTAATTCTCGCCAGTGTTATTTTCATAAATTTAGTTAGAGTGAGGTTTTCTGAGTATGATACACATTAATCTCCAGTCAGATTGGTGAGTGATATTAAGATATATTTTCCTTCTGTTATGTAATTGTGTATATATATAACCATTTATTATTTTTAATATACAGTCCACAAATTTATATATTTACCAGTATTCCTGGTGTATGTATATTTCATTTAATTAATAGGTCCAGAGCAACTTGTGGATATGACAGTGGTAGGTATCGAAGGGGGACATTTTTTGCGACCTAGGTGTCCCAAATTCCTACTTGTCTATGTAACATTGATAAATAATAATTATCTTTGTTATCATTTACTGTTATGTACATAATTAGTTACATTCAGATAAATGCAATTTTCCACACTATCCTAGTTCAACCTATTCAAGATCAACCTATCCAAGCTCAACCTATCCTAGTTCAACCTATCTAAGCTCAACCTATCCTAGTTCAACCTATCTAAGCTCAACCTATCCTAGCTCAACCTATCCAAGCTCAACCTATCCAAGCTCAACCTATCCTAGCTCAACCTATCCAAGCTCAACCTACCTCATTGTTACAATCAACCTATCCTAGCTTAACCTATATGTTAAAGATTCTGTATAAATATACAGACACAGTTGTATACAGGTGATACTTGAGGTACAGTGGGTTACAGTAAGTATATTCAGGTATACACAAATACATAGATGATCATACATAGCAGTATATGTGTAGAGAACCTGGGATAATCCCCCAAAAAAGTCAATGACACCAATCAAACCCAGCCCCTCCCACTGATGCATTTATCCAACCTAAATTTGAAACTACCCAAGGTTTTAGCCTCAATAACCCAACTAGGTAGACTGTTCCACATGTAGAGAACCTGGGATAATCCCCAAAAAAGTCAATGTGACTTATTTCCATTGGGGTCCTTTTAATACCATTGGAATCCTCTAATTTCTATTGGGGTCCTCTAAAAGCAGTGCCCCTCCTTCGACCCCTACACATCAATACTCACATAATCTGGATTTTCAATATACCAACAGTTACCAAGTATGAAATCCAATAACACTAATAAATTATGATAGATGGATTGTATAAGTCTGATTTTGATTTAACGTTATCAGAGAATTGTGGTGTCCACGACCTTTATTATATTAATACGCATAATGATATAAATTATTTGTCAGCATAGTATTTTTCACCAGTTATATAAATATAACTTTATAAATGACTAACCATAGTTATTGTTGATAAATAACGTCCTAATGCTTCTCTGACAGCTAAATATATTCACTAACAAATTCAAAATCTACTAAAAAAATAAGGAAACATACTGTACAAACAGTAGGCTGCACACACCGTTCAGCGTCTCAAAAAAAACCATACCCCCGGCCGGGATTGAACCCGCGGTCAGAGAGTCTCAAAACTCCAGCCCGTCGCGTTAGCCACTAGACCAGCTAGCCACAATAAGATTCATCCAACTAGGTATATTTCTAGTTCAGCGTCTCCTTATTTTCCACAATTCCTGCGATAATGTAGGTGTCTCCGAGGGAATTTGACCATTAACAGCAGCCCACGATGTTTACGTATTTTTTAGTCCCTCATATTCCCCTATATACCCATTTTCAGCTTCGATGACACCCGATTTATCACCACTCTGTACAACCAAAGTTTTCAACTTCTCGACACTTCCCTGGTTTCCCTATTACTCGAAATTTCTCTATAATGAACCCAACAACACATTTTAATAAACACATAGTATGTTGTTTAATTTTGTATACTCTAAATTCAGGAAATTTAATAAAATTCTTCTTGTTATTGTTGATTCGTCGGTACTGTCCTGGTCCGGGTGTTTTCCAGGTGGTGGCCAGGTCTTGACTCCCTGTCTTAGGAGTATCTAAGACCTAAGTCTGCCATGGGAGGAGGTACAAGTGCCTCCACATCTTCTATGTCTACCATGGGAGGAGGTACAAGTGCCTCCACATCTTCTATGTCTACCATGGGAGGAGGTACAAGTACCTCCACATCTTCTATGTCTACCATGGGAGGAGGTACAAGTACCTCCTCATCTTCTATGTCTACCATGGGAGGAGGTACAAGTACCTCCTCATCTTCTATGTCTACCATAGGAGGAGGTACAAGTACCTCCTCATCTTCTATGTCTACCATGGGAGGAGGTACAAGTGCCTCCACATCTTCTATGTATACCATGGGAGGAGGCACAAGTACCCCCTCATCTTCTATGTCTACCATGGGAGGAGGTACAAGTGCCTCCACATCTTCTATGTCTACCATGGGAGGAGGTACAAGTACCTCCACATCTTCTATGTCTACCATGGGAGGAGGTACAAGTACCTTCTCATCTTCTATGTCTACCATGGGAGGAGGTACAAGTACCTCCACATCTTCTATGTCTACCATGGGAGGAGGTACAAGTACCTCCACATCTTCTATGTCTACCATGGGATGAGGTACAAGTACCTCCTCATCTTATGTCTACCATGGGAGGAGGTACAAGTACCTCCTCATCTTCTATGTCTACCATGGGAGGAGGTACAAGTGCCTCCACATCTTCTATGTCTACCATGGGAGGGAGGTACAAGTACCTCCACATCTTCTATGTCTACCATGGGAGGAGGTACAAGTACCTCCTCATCTTCTATGTCCTACCATGGGAGGAGGTACAAGTACCTCCACATCTTCTATGTCTACCATGGAAGGAGGTACAAGTACCTCCACATCTTCTATGTCTACCATGGGAGGAGGTACAAGTACCTCCTCATCTTCTATGTCTACCATGGGAGGAGGTACAAGTACCTCCTCATCTTCTATGTCTACCATGGGAGGAGGTACAAGTGCCTCCACATCTTCTATGTATACCATGGGAGGAGGTACAAGTACCCCCTCATCTTCTATGTCTACCATGGGAGGAGGTACAAGTACCCCCTCATCTTCTATGTCTACCATGGGAGGGGGTACAAGTACCTCCTCATCTTCTGGGACCAACTGTCCCCAGGCCTAGCCACATTCCCCGTCCTCACGGGGCTCGTAGGGAGAAGCTAGGCCTCTGGTCTGCCATCTTCCCCACCCCAGGGTGGCTAATGGGAATGACAGTCTTGCGAGGTGCAGGTGGTATCAAGCTCTAGCTCTGGCACCTTCCCTGCTCTAGGAGGGCTCCTGGGAGTAGAGTTTACCTGGAATTTACCTGGAAAGGGTTTCGGGGGTCAACCCCCCGTGGCCCGGTTTGAGACCAGGCCTCATGGTGAATCAGGGTCTAATCAACCAGGCTGTTACTGCTGGCCGCGCGCAAGCTGTCGTACGAACCCCAGCCCTGTTGGTCAGGTACTGACTTTGGGTGCCTATCCAGTGCCTTCTTGAAGACAACCAGGGGTCTTGAAGACAGTCAGGGGTCTTGAAGACAGCCAGGGGTCTTGAAGACAGCCAGGGGTCTATTGCTAATACCCCTTATGTATGCTGGGAGGCAGTTGAACAGTCTTGGGCCCCGAACACTTATTGTGTTGTCTCTCAGTGTGCTCGTGGCACCCCTTCTTTTCATCGGGGGAATGTTGCATCTCCTGCCGAGTCTTTTGCTTTTATATGGAGTGATTTTCGTGTAAAGGTTGGTACCAATCCCTCCAGGACCTTCCAAGTGTATATTATCATGTATCTCTCTCGCCTGCTTTCCAGGGAGTACAGATCAAGGACCTTTAACCGTTCCCAGTAGTTTAGGTGCCTTATTGCACTTATGTGTGCCATGAAAGTTCCTTGTACACTCTCCAGGTCTGCAATGTCGCCAGGCTTGAAGGTGGCCGTTAGTGTACACAGTATTCCAGCCTAGAGAGCACAAGAAATTTGAAGACAATCATCATGGGCATGGTGTCCCTAGTTTTGAAGGTTCTCATTATCCATCCTATCATTTTCCTAGCGGATGAGGTAGATACATTGTTGTGGTCTTTGAAGGCGAGATACTCTGACATTATCACTCCCAGGTCCTTCACATTACTTTTCCGTTCTGTTGTATGGTTAGAATTTGTGGTATACCCTGATGCATTTTTAATTTCTTCAAGTTTTCCATATCTGAGTAGTTGAAATTTCTCCTCGTTGAACTTCATATTGTTTTGAGCGACCCATTCGAAGATTTGGTTGATGTCCGCTTGGAGTCCCGCAGTGTCTTCGATGGAGGTCACTGCCAAGGTGATCCGGCACTGCCATGGTGATCCGGGTGTCATCCACAAAGGAAGACACGGAGCTATGGCTTACATCTCTGTCTATGTCAGAAATGAGGATGAGGAATAAAATGGGAGCGAGTACTGTGCCTTGTGGAACAGAGCTTTTTACCATGGCTGCCTCAGACTTTACTCTGTTTATTATTACTCTTTGTGTTCTATTTGTCAGGAAGTTGTAGATCCATCTACCAACTTTTCCCATTATTCCTTTATCACGCATTTTGTGTGCTATTACACCATGGTCACACTTGTCGAGAGCTTTTGCAAGGTCTGTGTACACTACATCTGTATTTTCTTTATCCTCTACGGTATCTAGGACCTTGTCATAGTGGTCCAGTAGCTGGGACAGACAGGAGTGACCTGCTCTAAACCCGTGTTACCCTGGGTTGTGTAACTGATTGGTATCTAGATGGTTACCTACCTTGCTTCTTAGAGCCCTCTCAAATATTTTTATAATATGTGCTGTTAGTCTGTAGTTCTTTGCAATTGCTTTACTACCACCTTTGTGGAGTGGGGCTATGTCTGTTGTTTTTAGTGTGTGTGGGATGACCCCTGTGTCCATGCTCCCTCTCCATAAAATGCTGAAGGCACGCGATAGGGGCTTCTTGGAATTCTTGATAAGCACGGAGTTCCATGAGACTGGGCCTGGGGCAGACTGCATGGGCATATCATTTATTGCCTCTTCAAAGTCTTGTGGAGTTAGGATAATATCCGAGATTTTTGGGATGACCAAATTTTGGGTTTCGTTCATAAAGAATTCATTTGGATTGTCGACCCTTAGAGTGGGCAGTGGATTACTGAACACTGAGTCATATTGGGACTTTAATATCTCACACATTTCTTGGCTGTCATCTGTGTATGTCCCATCCCACCTAAGCAGGAGCCCAATTCTGGATGTTGTTTTTCCCTTAGATTTGGCATAAGAAAAGAAGTATTTGGGGTTTTCTTCAATTTCCTTTATGGTTTTTAGTTCTTCCTGTGATTCTTGTCTCCGGTTAGAATCCTTCAGCTGAAGTTCGATATTTGCAATTTTAATGACTAGTGCTTCCCTTCGTATTTCAGATATATTGACCCTACTCAGCAGCTCTGTGACTCTTCGCCTTCGTCTGTATAGGGAGCATCTCTCTCTTTCCAGTTTACATCTTCTCTTTCTTTTTCTTAATGACATGTGTCTTAAGCAGATCTCAAGAACCACAGAATTCATTTTTTCAAGGCAAATGTGGTGTATATAAAATATTTCCACACTATTCTTATGTAATCAAACTAGTCTTGCCTAACCTAACCTAACCTAATCCTATATAAGCAAACATAGCCTAGATTAACATAATCTAACCTAATTCTATATAAGCAAACATAGCCTAGATTAACCTAATCTAACGTAACCTAAACTAGACTAGTCTAATCTAACCTGCTGAAAGAATAACAGAACTCACTGCTATGACAATTACAGGGTAAACTAAAGAATTATTTCCATTTCCATTATTTACATTTCCATTACTGAGTTGTAAATTATTTCAGTCACGGTATTATGATTTTCACTTTTAAAGGATTTATTCATCTCGCTAAATATTTATATTTGTAATTATTTCAGGAACAGATTCAAAAAGAATCACATGTGGCGAATAAACTGATTATGGAAGAAGTGTGTGTGAGAGGTGTCAGGGCTGGTTATCCCCTGGCTGATGGCAGTGGTCGTCCACACGGACCTAGTGAGAGGGATACATGTCATTGTGAGTGGTAATTAGTTCAGTCACACGGACTAGTGAGAGGGATACCTTTCACTGTAGGATTGGCAGTGGTCGCACCGACTAGGAAGGATACATTATCATGTGTATGGTAGTGGTCATCCACCGGACCTAGTGAGAGGGATACCTGTCATCTGGTGGATGGCAGTGGTCGCCCACACGGACCTAGTGAGAGGGATACATGTCATCTGGTGGATGGCAGTGGTCATCCACACGGACCTAGTGAGACAGATACCTGTCACCTGGTGGATGGCAGTGGTCGTCCACACGGACCTAGTGAGACGGATAAATGGTCACGGCAGATGACAGTGTCGTCCACACGGACCTAGTGAGACGATACCTGTCACCTGGTGGATAGCAGTGGTCCACACGGACCTAGTGAGACGGATACCTGTCACCAGGCGGATGGCAGTGATCGTCCACACGGACCTGGTGAGACGGATACCTGTCACCTGGTGGATGGCAGTGGTCGTCCACACGGACCTAGTGAGACGGATACCTGTCACCAGGCGGATGGCAGTGGTCGTCCACACGGACCTAGTGAGACGGATACCTGTCACCTGGCTGATGGCAGTGATCATCCACACGGACCTAGTGAGACGGATACCTGTCACCTGGTGGATGGCAGTGGTCGTCCACACGGACCTAGTGAGAGGGATACCTGTCACCTGGCAGACGGTAGTCACCTTCCACACGGATCCAACGAGAGGGATAATTGCCACCTAGCAGACGGCAGCCACCTTCCACATAGACCCAACGAGGACTACCTGTTACCCGACAGACGGAAGCCACTCAGGACACGAACTCAGTTCGGAGACAAGCTTGTGAGATACATCTTGCAACATCAACAATGGCATCCATGTTACCACTCCTGTTTAAACGATTGATTTCACACAAGATACGTGTGCAACATGTTTTCAATTTTAGAAACTTGACGCTATCCAGTGGCTCCTTCAGTCCAACACAGAGAGGAATGGAAAGTGAAGATATAATCTAAAATAAAACAGTCCCTCAATCAGTAGGAATCGTGCATGTTCACCACTGTGTATATTGTAATAATGTTTGTGTTGCGTTAGAAATACACAAGTGCCATTAAGTATGGGTTTAGGTTGCATAGTAATGCTGAGTATTGGTTTATAAACCAGGTAAATGCACGAGTGTATTTTGCATTCCTCTCTTTTGTTCAGTTAAGTCAAAATTGGACGTCTTTTGTATATAAAGTTTAGCTGAAGTTAGTTTAATTTTGTTTAATATGTTTATTATGCACCCCATACCCATCCTGTGGGCGGTAGTCACCCCATACCCATCCTGTGGGCGGTAGTCACCCCATACCCATCCTGTGGGTGGTAGTCACCACATACCCATCCTGTGGGCGGTAGTCAAAAGATTACAGAGGTACATAATTGGTCCAGGGACTGGACTCCAAAGTTTTGATAGCTGAGCAAGTTACAGAGGTAATGAACTAGATCTGGTCATAATCATGACCAAGTTACAAAGGTAATGAACTAGATCTGGTCATAATCATGACCAAGTTACAAAGGTAATGAACTAGATCTGGTCATAATCATGACCAAGTTACAAAGGTAATGAACTAGATCTGGTCATAATCATGACCAAGTTACAAAGGTAATGAACTAGATCTGGTCATAATCATGACCAAGTTACAAAGGTAATGAGCTCCAGGTAGAGCTGGTCACACTCATGAATAATTGCAAAGGTAATGAATCATAAACACATTAATCATGAGAATGTTACAAAGGTAATGACGTCTGAAAGTTGACAGATTAAAAGTTTGGAATAATTGTAACTATTACCTTACAAGTGAATTACCTAAGAATATGTTATTCATGTGTTAAAAGGATGAATATTGTGTTGGTGATGTACTTAGTTGTTACTGTAGAGTGTTGGTGATGATTTAAAGTGTACTGTGAGTGTTGGTGATGTATTTCAGTGTTGCTAGTGGTTTGGTGATGCATTTATGTTACTGTGAGTGTTGGTGATGTATTTAAGTTTTACTGGAGTGTTGGTGAGAGTATTAGGTTCTGTGAGTGTTGTGATGTATTAGTGATTACTGTTGAGTGTTGGTATGTGCATTAGTGTTACTAGTGAGTGTTTGTAGATTATTTATGTGAATTACTGTGAGTGTTGGTGTGTATTAGAGGTTCTGTTGGTGATGTATTTAGTGTTACTGTGAGTGTTGGTGATGTATTTAGTGTTACTGTGAGTGTTGGTGATGTATTTAGTGTTACTGTGAGTGTTGGTGATGTATTTAGTGTTACTGTGAGTGTTGGTGATGTATTTAGCGTTACTGTGAGTGTTGGTGATGTATTTAGGTTACTGTGAGTGTTGGTGATGTATTTAGTGTTACTGTGAGTGTTGGTGATGTATTTAGTGTTACTGTGAGTGTTGGTGATGTATTTAGCGTTACTGTGAGTGTTGGTGATGTATTTAGTGTTACTGTGAGTGTTGGTGATGTATTTAGTGTTGCTGTGAGTGTTGGTGATGTATTTAGCGTTACTGTGAGTGTTTGGTGATGTATTTAGCGTTACTGTGAGTGTTGGTGATGTATTTAGCGTTACTGTGAGTGTTGGTGATGTATTTAGTGTTACTGTGAGTGTTGGTGATGTATTTAGTGTTACTGTGAGTGTTGGTGATGTATTTAGTGTTACTGTGAGTGTTGGTGATGTATTTAGCGTTACTGTGAGTGTTGGTGATGTATTTAGGTTACTGTGAGTGTTGGTGATGTATTTAGTGTTACTGTGAGTGTTGGTGATGTATTTAGCGTTACTGTGAGTGTTGGTGATGTATTTAGTGTTACTGTGAGTGTCTGGTGATGTATTTAGGTTACTGTGAGTGTTGGTGATGTATTTAGTGTTACTGTGAGTGTTGGTGATGTATTTAGTGTTACTGTGAGTGTTGGTGATGTATTTAGTGTTACGTGATTGGTGATGTATTTAGTGTTACTGTGAGTGTTGGTGATGTATTTAGTGTTACTGTGAGTGTTGGTGATGTATTTAGTGTTACTGTGAGTGTTGGTGATGTATTTAGTGTTGCTGTGAGTGTTGGTGATGTATTTAGCGTTACTGTGAGTGTTGGTGATGTATTTAGTGTTACTGTGAGTGTTGGTGATGTATTTAGTGTTACTGTGAGTGTTGGTGATGTATTTAGTGTTACTGTGAGCAACAGGAAAAATATTTTTAATATCAGCCACACAGAATCAGAACCCTGCCAATAACCTGTGGAGTTCCTCAAGGTAGTATTCTGGGTCCTTTACTGTTCCTGTGTTACGTGAATGACTTGCCCGTCAAATGTGAGGTGTTACTGTACGCAGATGATAGTGCTCTGTTAGTATCAGGTCAAGACCCACAAGATATGGCTAGGGTACTGTCACTAGAACCAGAGTCCTATAGCTAATGGTTGGTAGACTATACCACGGGTGGGATTAGAACCCGCGACTTACTAATTAACACTACATCTCAGTTTAATATGTTTATTATGTACCCCAGACCCATCCTGTGGGTGGCAGTCAAAAGATTACAGAGGTACATAATGGGTCCAGGGACTGTACCTCAACATTACAGAGGTACATAATGGGTCCAGGGACTGTACTTCAACATTACTGAGGTACATAATGGGTCCAGGGACTGTACCTCAACAGTACTGAGGTACATAATGGGTCCAGAGACTGTACCTCAACATTACAGAGGTACATAATGGGTCCAGGGACTGTACCTTAACATTACTGAGGTGCATAATGGGTCCAGGGACTGTACCTCAACATTACAGAGGTACATAATGGGTCCAGGGACTGTACCTCAACATTACAGAGGTACATCATGGGTCCAGGGACTGTACCTCAACATTACAGAGGTACATAATGGGTCTAGGGACTATACCTCAACATTACATAGGTACATAATGGGTCTAGGGACTGTACCTCAACATTACAGAGGTACATAATGGGTCCAGGGACTGTACCTCAACATTACAGAGGTACATAATGGGTCCAGGGACTGTACCTCAACATTACAGAGGTACATAATGGGTCCAGGGACTGTACCTCAACATTACTGAGGTACATAATGGGTCCAGGGACTGTACCTCAACATTACTGAGGTACATAATGGGTCCAGAGACTGTACCTCAACATTACAGAGGTACATAATGGGTCCAGGGACTGTACCTCAACATTACAGAGGTACATAATGGGTCCAGGGACTGTACCTCAACATTACAGAGGTACATAATGGGTCCAGGGACTGTACCTCAACATTACAGAGGTACATAATATGTCCAGGGACTGTACCTCAACATTACAGAGGTACATAATGGGTCCAGGGACTGTACCTTAACATTACAGAGGTACATAATGGGTCCAGGACTGTACCTCAACATTACAGAGGTACATAAGGGTCCAGAGACTGTACCTCAACATTAACAGAGGTACATATGGGTCCAGGGACTGTACCTCAACATTACTAGAGGTACATAATAGGGTCCAGAGACTGTACCTCAACATTACTGAGGTACATAATGGGTCCAGGGACTGTACCTCAACATTACAGAGGTACATATATGTCCAGGGACTGTACCTCAACATTACAGAGGTACAATAATGGGTCCAGGGACTGTACCTCAACATTAACAGAGGTACATAATGGGTCCAGGGACTGTACCTCAACATTACAGAGGTACATAATGGGTCCAGGAGACTGGACCCAACAACAAGGCTTTTGATAGGCTGAAACTAGTTACATAATTGATAATAAATTACAAGTACATATGGGCACGGACACATAAACTATAAAGGGTAAAGTCAGATTACTAATGTCTATTCAATGGTGAAATGGTCCAGGGATTGGAGCCATAGAGAATATTAAATACCCCGCATAACGATTAGGTCCCAAATGTGACCAAATTAGTAAGTGTATTCTATGTAACGTGCATTTGTACGGTATGTATTCGGGACTGTACTAAATTGACTAATCTAACTTCA